ATGTCTCAAGCCATTGATGTATTTCTATCAGCAGACATAGTGAACAATGTATTTGGTTGTTCATCTAAGGAAATATAAACTTCAACAATCTAAGAGGCTAACAGCTCTTATTTATAATCCTCAGGTATACTACTGAGGTTGATGGATCATCAATCTAGACACCATCTGGTATTGTCATCATCTCGTATGATCCATGGGCTTTGCTTTATTAGTAAGTCCATGTCTCTTGGCTCCACATGAGATGGCTCAGCAACTGATACATTTGTCATCGAGTGATTGGGACTCAATTTCTCGAATGGTTTATGATTGTTGCTACTTTGCTCATACCATTACTTTTTTATGTCACTTTTAGACGGAGATTTATTATCGGAACTAGAGTGAATGACACATTATCATTACCTTGGTGTGATTCAGAGATATGGAATTAGCAGAGCTGCTATAGTGGATGGTCTAAGACTTTGCTACGTTTGGATACAGCTCTTCTTGTTACTTTCGTATTGTGAACTTTGGGATAACCAAATTTATTGATCACCATTCACTCTGTTTTCCAAATGCTTCACTTTGAATGACACAGTATACTGTACACTTTCTGTACCATAAAGTGTTTGTCTTGATAGATTTAGGCTTTGGTTATGTCTTGACAAGTATGAATTGACCTTTGTTACTCATTTGGCCTTTTGTAGTTGAAGTCATCCAGCCATAACGACCTTGTGCTGAATCTACGAGCTACACATAGGTATTGACATGACTTTCTATGATACAGAGCTAAACTTCTTGTACTTCAAATCTGTTCTCTATGGATGAAAGCTGTTGTTGTCATTAAACTTTGGGGAAGTATCGTTGATGCGTTGCTATAGTTTTACATTTGCTGGCTCCAAACATCCGAACATCAAAATTGTGCGAGGGTTGAGAAAAAACATCAACAAAGCAAAGGGGACTTTCCTATATCAACAAACTTATTCCATTGACAATTTAAGCATTGAGGCTTTGGAAGATGATGGTTTTAGGATGGAATGCTTCTGCGTATCACATAAGGCTAGTCCAAATGACTTGAAAAGCTTTGACTGACTGCGAAAGTCACAGCAACAGCGCTAGAGGAAGAGATGAGAGTTTTAAGGGTCTCACCTACTATACAAGAATTGGTCTTCCAATGAGAGCTTTGAAGTTTGACACGTGTATCAGTGGATCATATGGACCATCTTGATAACTTCGTTACCAAAGGACTGGGTGAAAAGCCACCACTCTGTCTCACGCATAAAGTATAGACATGTCTCCTTGGCTCAAGATTCTAACAACTAGGGATCAACACATCTATGTATTTGAATTGGCATTTCCATTGGTTCTCAACAAGAACAACTTGATGAAGCATACACAGTGATGGTATAAATACCCGAGTCTCCCTGCTTTCTGGTATTTGACGGTCTTGGTATCGATCTGCATTTTGTTGTGTGTGAAACGCAAACTTGATATGGGCCGTGAAATAGTGAAGTTTTGTACGACAAAATTGGGACGTCGACTACACATCGGCAGTGCTACATTAGTGACACCATGCCTATCTTGTGTGATTGGTGTGAAAGCTTGATCTCCGCTCTTCATTTAGCTACACTAATTTCCAATCAGACTTGATGATGTTCACAGTGATTGATGATGACAGTTATATTCTCATAACTCAAGCTTAAGAACTTATGTACATTTCTCATGGAAAGTTTTCTCATAACTGAACTATAGTATGAGCTCTGTCTGAATGTTTTACAGTTGGTTGCCAAACAGTTCTGTTCACTACCTGGAGATAACAGTTGTCGCAGGGACTCATGAAGAAGATGATTTCTCAACACAATACAAACCAAAGATAGGCAACCCAATACTCAAACACGACTCTATGGAAAAGGAGGCATACTTTGTGACTTATCTGAACGCTTTATCATGAGTCACCATTGTGCTGTCACGATTTAGAACTGAAGATGATGGAAATTCCAAAATTCAGAACGATTCATGAATCAAGTTACATCAGCACAACTCAATAGAGTGGTGGCATTTACAGTGAGTGTATGATATTGGTTGGCTCTTCAATTAACGGACGTCACTTCTTTGGATGCTCTATCATGAGTTTAAACCCAACTTTGTCGTCTTCCAAGTGGGTATGGTGTCGATTATGGAAACTGATGTGCTCATAGTGTTAATCAGTTACTTTGATCTTTTGGGTTTCAGCTATGCACATCTAAGGCATCATATTATGGACTCATGGGCATGTTTACTTGTCATCCATACGCCACCAGGCTTTCAATTTCACTTCTTTCATCCCTGCAGTTAGAGAGTGCAGTCAAGATTCAATCCCACTGATTAACGACATTGCACTTGCCACCAGCCCATGTGGAGACTATCGAATATGACTTACCCCAT